ATATATGTGTACATCTGAACACAATTTCATAAAATTAAGAAGATACCAAAAAAATATCTGAAATGTAAGCATTTTCACCTATCTATTGAAGCTGATTTGGAGATGATTAAGGCTCTCCAGATGGACACCATGGGGGTAATTAGTCAGTAAATATATAAAAAAATAAAATAAAATGCATCCCATCGCAGCGATGTTGGAGAGGCTATAGTAACGCTCGTGTATGTGTGTTGGGGGGGGGGGGGGGGGAGAGAGAAAGGATGCGTAACAAGTTAAGCAAGAAATAATTCATATCAGGATTGTAAGCAAGAAATAATTCATATCAGGATTGATATGCTCTTCTGCGATAAACTATCTTTAGGAAAAGTTTTAAAAGCCCCAAGCACAAACTAAGATCTTGATGATGGATTGCGTCAAGAGCCTTTATATAGGAAGTCCTAGCTTACCCATACAGAATACATCCATAGTCTAATTTAAATCTGGCCAGAGAACGACTGGATGTCAGACTAGCTCTCTATCATCTGCTATGATGTGATGTCAACTTCTTGTATGATGATGTTGTATGTTTTACGTCCCGTTGGAGAATTTTTCACTCATATAGAAACGTCACCATATACCTGTGAAGGTCAGGTTTTGACCTTTACTCGGCACTAGGGCTATTGAGCCGTGAGTTTTTAGTCCCCTACCGGTGAAACCGGAGGGGACTATAGGTTTCCTCTGAGTCTGTCCGTCCGTCCGTCTGTCTGTCTGTCTGTCTGTCTGTCCCTCTGTCTGTCTGTCAGTCTGTCCCACTTGGTTTTCCGCACTTTTTTCCTAAACGCTTGCAGATATTGAGCTGATTTTTGGTATGTGAGTGTATCTTGATGAGTTACAGACCAAGTTTGCACTTCGTTCCGCTTCATTGATTTTTGACGGAATTACGGCCTTTTCAATTTTTACTGGTTTTCCGCAATTTTCTTCTAAACGCTTGTAGATATTGAGCTGATTTTTGGTATGTGGCTTTACCTTGATTAGTTATAGATCAAGTTTGCATTTCGTCCCGCTTCATTAATTTTTGACGGAATTATGGCATTTTCAATTCTTAAAGGGAATAGAACCAGATTACACTTGCCGGTAGGGGACTAGTATTGCTCATGCAATACTCTCAGAATGCTTGTTTCTTTTGCCAGCACCTACTGCGACACGGGACCTCGCGGTTTATACGGTCTCATCCGAAAGACCGGATTCCACGTCCAACAGTGGAATTCGAACCCGCGGCGTAAGGATCAACTCTTTACTCCACGATTCTAAAGCAAACGCTATAACTACTGTGCCACGCGATTGAAAAATGTAGCGATAAAAATCACAAAAACTCACTATCTATCCGTTTTCTCTTCTAAAAGGAAGGTACAAGAGGATTCTCAAGCACAAAGACGATTAATCACATCATAAGGTGTTTTGTCTAAGCTGTCTCGTCAGAGGAAATCCATTGGCACTGAAAGCAACCATTATTGCCCTTCCACATCATATTTGGAAATCACTCCAGCTGTGATTCAAAGTGGTGTCGATACCTTCATGCTTAGGATTCATACATTCCAAAGAATCATTCCAATAAACGATATCGGTCAGATACCAATCAAGTTCTTCTGCATCTGTTTTCATCGTTTGTAGAGCAAACAGAGAAACTTTCATCTCTAGAAAGCACCTCTATGGCAATGAAACTTTAACATTATGGAGTCTAGAATGAATTTAAAGGAAACTTTTATTCTGGATCAGAGAACACCTGTGAAAGAGACGCAGCTGCTGTCCGTGAAAAGAAAACGGGGACTAAAATATGCTACAAAGGTTAGCCTGGCGACAGACATTTTTTGTGTTCTAATAAAAATTGTATACTGTACTATATGATGCACATAATGCAGTACAAGATTGTAAATACTCGCAAAAGCTTGCTTAGTATGGTAGTAATTGATACTTTATTTGAATTACACTTTTACAGCGTCCTATATCATTGATATCATAAAACAGATGGAAAGCAGAAAAAAAACTAGAGGTACTGTGAGCACTGAGCTCACTAAATGATACCCCCGCCTTCCATATGATTATAATGGCAAAGTCAATGTTTTGCTCTGAGAAACCCGAAATAAGTGTCAGATCAAAAAGTAAAATAGGAGGTGCACAATGGCATTATGTAATAAAGAATCTGTGAAAGTATCATTAAATTTTATTCAGTGGTATAGGAGGAGGTGCGGATAAGAGAGGGTACCCTTCAATATTATAGAAAGAATGGCAGTGTCCATGTTTTGCTATGGGAAACCCGAAATAAGTATCCGATCAAAAAGTAAAATAGGAGGTGCACAATGACACGATGTAAAAAAGACTCTATGGAAGTTTCATTAAAATTCATTCAGTGGTATAAGAGGAGTTGCGGATAAGAGATGGGTTCCCCAAAGCGTAACAGACGGACGGACGGACGGACGGACATCCCGATCACTATATACCCTCCCACTTTTTAAGCGGGGGTATAAAAATTAGGAGCCATTGATACTTTGATTAAGCTAAAGTTGTATAAGATAGTATGGGGAAAAAAGATTTGGGCCTTTCTTTACCCAATGTACGTGTAGCACATGAGAGAAAGGGATTTGATGGCATCTATAGTACATTTACAGAATGTCTTCACGGTAAAGTAAAAGTGACTAAACAATGAAAATCATAACTGCTGTTTCAATTTGTTTGGAAGAGAGATAACTCTAAATATGTCACTGCAATTAATTGACCTTATTGTTTAATTAGTATTTCACTCGATACAACAGATATTTCAGTGATTATTCTATATTTCTGGTTAAATTGAATATTTCTGGCTTCAGGGCATGGATGAAAGTAATTTCATGTAAAAACAGAAAAAACGAAATTAGCTTCTTTTCTTATATAACACTACAAAGATCTTGACGAAATATTTTGGATGCAAGCCTGGATATGCCATAGCAAATATTGATTGATGTTTAATTTTTCAATGAGTACTAAACAAACCATTAAAGAAATTATTTGAAGAAAATTTACTCTTAATTTTGTTTTGTTCTTGAGGAGTGGATAATCTAACAGGAAAAGCGTATCAACTTGACAGTTTTAGTCATTTATCACAGTGAGAGTAATGCTTGTTATCAAAGGGTAATTGCACCTTAACTCTGCTATATGTTGCAATGATTAGACTTAACGTTTATTTCCAAATGACATGGTGTCGGCAGGTTTCAATGGAATTTATCATTTTTCTCTATATGATGATTATTTATGATAAATAACATAGAATTTACTACTAAAATTAACAAGATCTTTAAAATGTGTTGTTTAATCTGAAAGTAATATTTTTTTTCCAAATGTACATTGTATTATGTTTCATCTTCCTAGACGACATCAAAATTTTCTCCAAGACTTACAAGGAACATATGGAAAGATTACATGTACAACTGGTATTTGACAGATTAAGAGCAACAGGACAGAAAGTAACCCCTCCCCCCCCCCTCCCCAAATGCAACTTTCTGATGGAGCGGGTAAAATATGTTGGCATATAGTTCCAAGAACGGCATAGAAACAGATCCTGATAAAACAGAGAGAAAGTCAGAAATTGACCCACACCTAAATCACCAGAAGCCAGAAAGTTCCTAGGATTTATTGATTATTACAGGCGTTTTATCCAAAATTTCAGCAGAATTGCAAAACCGTTGACCATCCTGATGCCAATACCCAAAGATAGGAAGAAAGGGAAACAGATAGCCAAACAGAAATGGATATCAGGAGACGAACAAGATCAAGCATTACCAAACTTAAACACCTGTTACATGTAGCTATTCCATCCCATTTGAACTACATACAGATGCTAGTATTCAGGGATGTTATACATGTATCAGATACAAGAAGGAGAAAAGAGGGTCATCAGTTATGCTAGCAGAGGATTAACCAGATCAGAAAGAAATTACCCTGCCCACAAAATGGAATTTCTGGCTCCCAAATGGGCAATAACTGAAAAATTCAAAGATTATCTCTACGGAAATTCATTTACAGTATATACAGACAACAATCCTCTTACGTATGTCTTAACGACTGCGAAATTGGATGCCACCGGACATAGATGGTTAGCGGAATTGTCAAATTATAATTTTAACATCATTTACAGACGGGGGAAAAATAACAAGGATGCGGATGGATTACGCAGAGTTTCAGAGGATGTGATCAGGATTCAATTAAAGCCATCTCCGTCTCAACCTACTCTCAAGGACTAGTAGAGAGTATTGTCATAGACACCAATGTTTTTCAACAGACCATCAGTGAATCAGAAATATCAGACACCACCAAAATTGACTGAAAACAAAGACAGGATGCAGATGGGTTACTTGGAAAATGGAAATACTTTGTAAAAAGTGGAAGGAAACCAAAACAACACCAAATTACACCAAGTGAAGAATAGTATCCCTTGAGAAGAAATTTTAAAAACTTGTTTATAGAAGATGGAGTATTATACAGAAAAACCAGAGTCTAAGGAGAAAAAAGGAAACAGCTGCAGTAATTTTACCCAGATGCTACATTAACAGTGTATTAGACTACCTACACAGCAAATTTGGTCATCCAGAAAGGGAAAGGACACTATCCTTGATTAGAGACAAGTTTTATTGAAATGGAATGTTTAAGGACACAGAGAACTGGATTAAGAATTGTCAAAGATATGTGTGCAGGAAGACACCAACAAACCAATGTGCACCTCTAACAGGGATAGAAACAACTTATCTCTTAGAACTAGTCTGTATGGACTTAACATTAGAACATTCAAAAGGAGGTTTCCAGCATATTTTAGTGATCACTGACCACTTCACCAGATTCGCGCAAGCAATACCAACAATAAGACGGCAAGAACAACAGCTGAAGCCCTATTTAACAACTTTATAGCTTATTATGGAATACCATCAAGAATCCACAGTGATCAAGGCGCAAACTTCGCAAGCAAAATCATAAAGAAACTGTGTAACATCACCGGCATGAAAAAATCGAGAACAACGCCATATCATGCAATGGGAAATAGGATGAGAGAACGGTTTAATCTGACATTTCTGGACATGTTAGGAACTTTGGAGCCACACAAAAAATCTAACTGGAAACCACATGTTGCACCGTTAGTTCATGCATACAATTGCACACGGCATGAGAGTACCAATCAGTCACCCTACTACCTCATGTTTGGACGGGAACCACGGATTCCAGTGGACTTCGTCTTTGGTATTAACAACCAGCAACAGAAAACATTGTCCAAATACATAGAAGACCTTCGCCAGAAAATGAAGAAAGCATATGAAATAAGCAATATCATCAGCAAAGCAGCCCGTTCTAATCAGAAAGAAGAATATGGTATGAAGATCAGAGGAAACATCAACGAAGGAGATAGGGTTTTAGTGAAGATAGTCAGTTTTGATGGCAAACAAAAAATGGCGGACAGATGGGAGAAGATCTACATAGTACTGAGACAACCAAATCCCACAATATCAGTGTATGTTGTCAGGAAGGAGAGTGTTGAGGGAGGAAAGAGAACTTTACACAGGAACCTTCTACTTCCCATAGGTCACCTCGATAGCTTTAAGGAATCCAGAAAGACAAAAGCAGAAATAACTATAGCTGAATCGACAAAACAGGATAAGAGGAATCAGCAACCAGAACCAGTTAAAGAAACCACCAGTGATAGTGAATGTGAGGCAGAATCAGATATGGAGCGCAGTACAGTTAAGGTGTCAAATGGAAATATCGGCGATTTTTTTTAGATAGAAAATACATTTTTTTACAAGGATGGGCGTTTCTTTTTAGGACTTAACTATTATCGGACAAATGCAATGTGGTTAAAAACTACATGTTGAGGACGATTAGATTTCTTATTTAGACTTGTCACGTGATGTGGCAGTCACGTGATTTTAGCAAATATGCATTAAAAGTATTGAGGTCATCTATAGATTCTAATATTGCAAGGGCATAACCAAGTTAAAAATCTAAGTTTAACAAACAATTATTTTCAACACTCTTTGTAGTTTGTGAAAAGTGCTGCGAACCTATATAGATTCTACTAATTGCTAAAATTACATTTGTTAGACTGTATGTTGAATATTTTGCTGGTCAAGTACATTAAATATAGATATAATTCATTCATATGCAAGATTTCAACAGGTTCGCAGCACTTTTCAAATGTCTTCATACTTTTTGAGTTTATGTGTAAAAGCTTCTCGTAATTCATTGAGGGTATGCCCTTGCAATATATCGATTTATTACGACCCTTCTATTACCCTTCAATGAATCTGCATACAAATATACTACAGTATCCCTTGTCTAGGGAATGTACAGGAAGTATATGAATAAAATCATAAAATAGACATCGCATCCAAGTTAATGGCCTCATATATCTACAATATATTTTATTTAATTACAAAATACACTTTTCATTGTATAAATATAACTTGATCCGCCTCTCACTGCATACAAACTGCGTTAAATTTTACGATATGACGTCACATTGCATGACAAGTGCATTGCGATCAGTGAATTGTTTATAATTGCTGTGTGGGATTTAACCAACGACAATAAGCATGCACTAATTAGTATTGATGTAGTTTAAAGCTATTCAACAGTTTAAAATAGCAAATCATTTCATTTTGTAGTAATTTGAAGAACTTATTTTTTTGTTGATGTCATAGTAAGCATTTCCGTATAAATTAGGCCCCGCCTCCTTACTACAGCCTTAACTGTGCTGCGAGGTACCGGTACCAAGATTTAGAAGTCAAGACAACTGAACATCAGCAACCTATGACTGACCAGTTAAGAGAGATGTCACAGGGTGACAATAGTCAAGTATCAGATGCTGCAGAGAATGTATCTGAAGAAACACTAGTGGAGGAGGATGAAGAAGAACAGCAAATTAGGAGAAGTACTCGACAGAAAACAGCCATCCGGGATGAGGAGTGGTGAATATGTACAATCTGTCCAGAGTAGTAAAGGTACTAAGGATCCTTGGAACACAAAGAAGATATAATACTTACAAAGTATCTTGATAACTGGTTCCTATAAAGGCTCTGAAAGCAAAATCATCGACACAATGATTGATTTAATGAAACAGCAATGTTTATTTTATGATTTTCTTTTCAGTCTCTCTGAGAATTTTTAATTTGTATATACTTCAGTTATTAGGATTCTTTCTCGCACATTCCTCCTAAGAATTGCACGTCTGAACTTGCAGAGTGGTGAGTATTACTGTATTTACATGTATATGTCAGAATATGAAATGTTAACAATTTTACATTTCTTGATGTTGTACAGTTTTTACTTTGATTAATGGCGGGGACGTCATTTTTTCCACACGGGGGGAGTATGTTGCAGAATGGTTTTTGATAAGAAATAGATAATTAATAAAGAATAATTATTTATCATCTAAAATGTGTTTTATAGTTATCATTCATCATTGTGTGCGGGGGTACTCACTGCTCGCACGAACAGCCAACATTGCGGCTCGGAGACGATATTGTCTCAGTTGATGATCTAAAGTACATGTATAGGTGTTTAACATTGATATAATTTCTATGATATATATATATATATATATATATATATATATATATATATATATATATATATATATATATATATATATATATATATATATATATATATACAGACCACATTTAGTAAGTTTTATCTATTTTCTACTTTTATCTTTCTATCTTCACGTAATATAATTTCTCTCATTGAAAGAGAGAACGAGTGAAGTTTTGAAATAAAGTTCATTGTATTTCTGTAAAGTATTATTATCAATAATCATATTGATTGTAAGCAACGCTAGATCTAGATGTAGTTTGAAAGTATAGTATTATTATTTTTGTGATCAGCTATTTTCCTGAGATTTATTACGGCTGAACCTGTGATTGTTGTTTTTTATAGGTTCAGATTTGTACATTTAAACATGTGAACCTGCAGACTACTTGCTTCGTGCTTAGTAAGCCTAATTCCATAAATTGGTACGCTATAGCAATTATTACTTGTTGATACGTTTTAATATACTTTGATAAATTATTCATATTTACTGAAATTTCTATCTGAACACAATTTTGATCATTCTGTAATTTTCTAAGAGTTATTTCCCTTTTTATGCATTCATGAATTCTTAACATTTACAATTGGTTAAATCTATTTTTAGTAAAATCTGTGTCGATCTATGAGAACTGCATATTACTTAATATATTGTTTGATGCCTTGAGCATGTTCTTGCATATCGAATCAACTGAGAGACATAAACCCCATATGCAGGTGATAAGGGTATATTGCTACATAGGTAAGGGAAGCGGACGACTGAAAAGTTGAAGTCATCACGTTTATCATAAAGCTTTGTTTTTAGGTTACCATTAACGTCTTTTTCTAGTAAAAGATCTAAATATGAAACAGATGTGTCAGAAGCTGTGGTATCTTTTATTTCAAGCTCACTGGGATATATCGAGTTGACATATGAATGAAAGTAACTATTAATAATTGATAATACTGTGTTTGATATATCGAAATGTCGAGTTGAAGGCAACAGCAAGTCTTTTTCTTCTCATGTAGAAGTTTTTGAATAAATTCAGCTTCATATGAATACAAAAATAGGTCTGCTAATAAGGGGGCGCAATTGGTACCCTTGGGAATTCCAGCAGATTGTTGGAAGACCATATCTCCAAAAACTACATAGGTATTGTCAATCAGAAACTCAATCATCTTTATAATATCAACTTCAGAGTACTTGTGTGTACAATCAGAGTGCTTTTTAACGAAATAGTTTTGGAAATGACCAATGACAAGGTAAATATACTTACGAGTTCCATTTTTATTGAAAAAGCAGCTGTCTATGATGTCAAAAAGCCTGGACTTCAATTTATCTTGGGGAAGGGTTGTATAAAGTGTTGAAAAGTCGTACGCTTTGATGCTATTGATTTAAGTAAAACTTTGTGATTTCAAATTTTCTTTGGAGTTACAGTAAAACTCGGTTATAACGAAGTCACTGGGACCTGTGAATTTTCTTCGCTGTATCCGTAATTCGTTATATCCGTATATGAAATTCGTTAAATTAATATAGCTGGGGATCCAAGAAAAATTCGCTATATCCGTGTTCGTACTAAACGAGTTTTACTGTACACCACTTCTAGGTTATGTTGTAGCACAGTACGTCTAAAGTTTCTCATTAACATCAGTTAATATTTTGGTAAGGAGTAAATATAGGGGCTTGGTAGAGGATTTGCTGGACCCGGCAATATATCATGTTAAGGATTTTTATGAAGTTAAGGAATCCAGTATAGGTATGGAAGATCAAACTCACCTTGGTTGACTAGAATGTTAAAGGTACATGTATGAAACACAGATATGTGATTTTGAAGAATTTCATCCTTGGAAAGCGAATTCCGATTGTATGTAGGATTTCCAGACGTAGAATTAAAACCAAGTTCTTCCAAAATACAATTATAATAAAAGCCTTACAAACAAAGACGATAATATTACCAGCCTTGTCTGCTGGAACCATTACACATTGTTCATGTAGTGTCTATAATTCTTTTATCACTTCCGATTTCGTGAAAACGTAAGGATAGATGGTTTGCATTTTGCCTTTTTAATTTTCGTATACGATTCTTTAATACCTTTCTAAATCATTTAATCCATTCTGACAGAGTGGTCAGGTCTTCTTTTTCATATTGAGCCCAACATTTGGCATTATCTTCGACAGAATTCATAACAGAAACGATTGAAAGATCGGGACTCCCTGTACTTAGGACCTTTTACGTTGATTAATTTTAGATTTTCACTTTCAAATATATTAACATCACCAGTAATGACGTGTCCAGCGGGACTGTAGTTGAAAGAATAAAGTGCACAACATATGTATTGGACATAGGATGGACTACTTAAATTACTAAGAATCGATAAAATTATATAAAATATAAATCATTATAATAAAAAAAGGTTTTCACTTCCTGTGGAAAACATTATGGTTAATAATGTCAAAGGACAAGATAGGCTAAGACCCCTTTTTGGCCCCTAATTTGGGGTGTCTTTTAGAATGATGCAACAGTTTATCAATAAAAACCTGTTGTCACCCCTGCCACAAAATGAGTATTGGTTCAAAGTTATGGAATACACAGAAGTCACAGGAAGGTCAGAATATGTCAATTTCCAAATTTTCTCATTTTTATGCACATTTTCATCAATTTTACAGCATATTTTGTTTCAGAAAACATAGAGCACAAGCTTGCCTATCTACCAAATTTATATATTTCATACACTAGTATCAGATGCATCTTACGTATAAAAATCTCAGATAGGCAAGCTTGTGCTCTATGTTTCCGGAAGTGAAAAGTATCACAAATACGATGAAATTCCACCAGAATTGCGGAAATTCAAGAAAATAAACTACTTCTGCACCCTATTGTGCCCTCCGTGTAAGCTTTGAATCAAAATAAGCGCTGGTTTTAAAACGAGCATCATTTTAAGATCTTAACTATAAACTATCACAATTTTAACTGTGTTCTGATTTTTACATCAAATAAGGGGCCAGATTCGGCCGTTACCATACCTTCCCCTTTAGGACATAAAATATGTACGGGATATGAACAGAAGAGGCTGGTAAAAGATTTTTTTCCTGCCTCTGACATAAAATTTAAAATCTCATTGGTCGAGAAGAATAATATATAAAAACCATATACTGCTGCCTACCGACATTATACTGTTAAGATGCCCACTCCACGTAACCTACTGACCAACATATCAAATCAATAAATCCCCATCACGTTCCATACTGTGCAAATCATATTCAATATGTTGTTTTCATTTGAACATGGATGGAGCCTAATAACTGTCGTCACCTGAGCATCAAATGACGTCCCCATGTAATCAATTGTTTGGAAAGGTTAGCTTTACTCAGAGAAAATGAACTTAAAACATTTTTTCGATAGGATAAATTTGTCACGTAGACACTTTGGAGGGGTAATACAGAAATTTACCCTGCGTGTCATAAAAAGCACGAAATTTCATTGGTCGAGAAGAATACAGTAAAAACTGTATACTTAGCTGCCTATTCACATTATATTGTAAATTAATATGCCCCCTCCACGTGACTTAATCGGTAGGCCTTAGACAGGATTCAATACAAATATACGAATATTAACTTCAAAATGATTACAATCGTCACGGTAGCTCAGTCGGTAGAGCACTCGCTCCGTGATCGGAAGGTCGAGTATTCGAATCACGGCCGCGACTGACCTAAGTCGATAAAAAAATAGGTAGCAACTGTTCCTTCGCCAAGCGCTCAGAACTTTGAAGTGAAAGTTGCGGGTCTTTCGTAAGAGAACTTAAAAACCGAGGCCCCGTGTCACGGCAGGCGTTGGCACGTTCAAGATTCCTCACTGCTCAATGACCCTGAGTGTAAAGTAAATCTCTGAATTTAAAGCCCTTCATCCAGTATATGGTGACTTCTCTATATGAGTGAAAAATTCTCGAACGGGACGTAAAACAACATACAATAATTCTGTCCATTAGCACTTCTCAGAGCTGTATTTTCCTCATTGTATCAATTATTGCCTATAGTCGAAAGACGCCATGGGTACACATTTTGAGATATTATAGACAGTCGCAAAGTTAATTAAGAGGAGAGATTTTCACAAAATTCGGCTCAATATATTCCATGATGGTGAATCGAAGGTCGTCAGTTCGAATCACGGCCGTGACTGACCTTAGTCGATATAAAAAAAAATAGGTAGCGACTGTTCCTTCCCAAAAGCTCGACACTTTGAAGTGAAAGTTGCGGGTCATTCGGATGAGACCTTAAAAACCGAGGCCCCGTGTCACGGTAGGCGTTGGTACGATAAAGAACCCTCACTGATCAATGGCCCTGAGTGCCGAGTAAAGGTCCTTCACCGGTATATGGTGACGTCTTTATATGAGTGGAAAATTCTCCA